CCCCAATCTCTCTCTCTGCCTCAGGCCGTGCCTTGGAGCTGGGGGGTGGCAAGAAGAAGCGGGCACCCTGGGACCTGAAGGGCCAAGTGAGCGACTTGCAGGCAGAGCTCAAAACCTACAAAGAAGAGGTGCAGCAGCTGCGCAAGGGGGGCCAGGAGCTGGAGGAGCAGAGGCAGGAGTTGCTGGCCCGTAACGGGGACCTGGACCGCCAGCTCCAGTAAGAGGAGGGTGGGGTGGGGGCAGGAGCAGCCTGATGCGGACGGGGAGTGACCCTGGCCCCTTGCACTTCTAGGGCTGTGAAGTCCGAGCTGCACGTGTCCCAGGAGCAGGCCCAGCAGCGCCTCAAGGAAGTGAAGGAACTGTCGGATCTGAAGCACCAACTGAAGCAGCAGCTCACTGACACCACTAGGACCAACAAGGAGCTCGAGGGGACCAACAAGGACCTGGAGATGGCTAAGCGGGACCTGTCAGCCCTGCTGGAAGCCAGAGAGGTGGGTCTGGAAGTTGAGGGGTCCATAGAGCAGCTTGGCTCTCCTTCTGGCCCCAGAGCCTCTGATGAGGAGCTCTGCTGTCCCGCGGCCTGCTCTGGGGCAGGCAATTGTGCTCATCGGCCCGTCTCCATTGGCACGCTATTCCATGCTGTGTGTGTGGAGACAGACGGCGCTGCAGCTCTGACAGATGAGCACAATCTGCAGCTTGACACGCAAGCACAGTTTCCTATGGCAACATCTCAGTGAGGCTGTGGGCACCGGCTGTAATGGCACCAGGTTCTGTTCCAGCATCACATTCCCAACGTGGCATTTGTCACAGTCCCCTGGTCCAGGCCAGGCCAGTGACTCTGTGTGATGCTGCCTTCCCTGGCTTCCCTTGTTGCAACCACGGCACCTCTGCCAGAGCCACAAGTGCCCTGTCGTCATAGGCAGCACTGCCCCAGGATGTCCCCACCTGTCCCCAGTAGCCCGCTTTGGCCATGCTGATGGCCACTTGTATCCAGTGAGCCCATGTGTTAGCACCTGTCACCAGGTCATAGTGATGCCTCAAGCTATGGCCTCCCATGCCCGTCATTTCAGACAGTTCTGAGCCAGGGTTAAGTGACACTCGGGCTCCCTGCTAGGGGGACCTGGCTCAGAGCACACAGGAGAACAGGGAGCTGAAAGCCCAGGTGACAACCCTGCTGCAGGCTGCAACGCAGAGAGAAGACCAGTTGCACCAGCTGGAGATGGACCGGCGGCGGCTGCACAACCTGGTGCTGGAGCTCAAGGTGGGGCTGGGCCCAGGGCAGATGGGTGGGAGGGCACTGGGGTCCTGGGCTAGACTGATGCATCTCTTCCACAGGGCAACATCCGCGTGTTCTGCCGTGTGCGGCCCCTGCTGCCCTCTGAACAGGAGGCGGGGAAGGGGCTGGAGCACTTGCATTTCCCCCCACAGGACAATGGAGCACTTGTGCTCTCTCGGCCGGAGGAGGTGAGCCAGGCAGGGGGGTGGGGGACAGCAATGGGCCTAGGTCACAATGGGCACCAGCCACAGGCTGTCTAGCCTCAGTTTGGAGATGCCCCTGCCCCATGCAGTGTTGAAGCCCCCAGGGGTGCTGGTAAAGGTATAATCCATTCCCTACGAAGCTGACCTGTTCCCTGGGGGACCCCTGTGGGTTGCTGCCCATGCTCAGAAGTAGTTTGTCTGCAACAGGTGAGGATAGCCACAAGCTGCAGAGTGATAGCAAAGGCCGAGGTGGGGAGAGTGTCATGCCCGGGTGCAGCAGCGCAGGCTTCCTGCCCCATGGGTACTCTCTGGGCTACGGAGTGGGGGGCAAAGAATGAGGCCCCCTGGCTGATCCCTCTTCCTCTCCCCTGCTCCATGCAATCTTTAGTCCCACACCGGGCGCAGCTGTAAAGGCAACACGAGGTACGACTTCAGCTTCGACCGCGTGTTCCCCCCAGCCTGCTCCCAGGCGGACGTGTTTGAGGAAATTGCGCAGCTAGTGCAGGTATGAGTTGGGCTGGGCCAGGCTGTGGGAGGAGGGGGCTGTTCTCCTCATAACCCCTCTCCCCTGCTCCCCTCTGCAGTCAGCGCTGGATGGTTATCACGTTTGCATCTTTGCCTATGGACAGACGGGCAGTGGGAAGACCTACACCATGGAGGGGCCGGACAACCTGGACCAGGAGACCCTGGGCATGATTCCCCGAGCCGTGCGCCAGGTCTTCCAGGGCGCACAGGAGCTGGAGCCCAAAGGCTGGGAGGTGAGTTTCCGTGCCCATGTCTCCCGGCCTGCTGCCCCCACAGCCCCAGCACTGGCTGATTGTGCATGTCTGTCCCCCCCTGCAGTATAGCTTCTCAGCAAGCTTCCTCGAGATCTACAATGAAGGCCTGCGTGACCTATTGGTGGGGCGCTCAGACCAGGCCCCTGATCTGGAGATCCGGCGTGTCAGTCAGGCCAGTGAGGATCTCCACGTTCCCAACCTGCGCTGCGTGCCTGTGGCTTCTGAGGAGGAGGTAAGTGCCTGGGGGGCTGCAGACTATGGTGTGCCTGTCTTGGCTTGGGGCTGTGCCTGCAGCCTAGTCTGGGGCAGAAGAATCATCCTCTGAGTGAGACTGGTAGGAGCTAGAGGTGAAGAAGTTACTTCATTCCCCTGCATCAATGTGCCTGTTGCAATACCACAGCCTGCACCTGGCCACAAAATGGCTGCAGGTCTCAGCGTGCCCTCATCAGGCCTGCTCTTCACCTGTGGTGCTTTATAGGGTGGAAGAAGCAGTGTTAAGAGGGTGGGAGGGGAACCTGCTGCTGGGCTGGGCAGAAGGTCAGGCGTGATGGCCTGGGTCTCTCTGGGCCTCACTTCTTCTTCCTGGAACAAACCCCAGGTGCTGAAGCTCCTGCACACAGCCAAAGCCAACCGCTCTGTGGCAAAGACTATTCAGAATGACCGCTCATCTCGGAGCCACAGCGTCTTCCAGCTGTGCATCAAGGGCTACAACACTGACCGGGCCCTTCGCTGTGCCTGTGGGTGTTGGGTGATGGAAGTACTGGGGGTGCTGCAGAAGCTTGGGGGGGCACAGGGTTGGGGGGGGTCCTCTGGGCAGTCCTGTGTCAGCCTCTCCCTCTGCCGCAGCTGTGTTGAGCCTGGTCGACCTGGCGGGTAGTGAACGCCTAAAGCCACAGTCAAAGACCGAGCGGCTGCGGGAGACACAGGCCATAAATGCCAGCCTGTCTACATTGGGCCTGGTAATTTTGGCATTGTCTAAAAAGGTAAGAGAACCCTGCAGGCCAGAACTACCCTGTCAGGCTGGAGCCTTGCAGCATCCTGTCTAGCACAGCATGGGGCCAGAGGGCAGACAGGCTTTGCTCAGACTGGCAGCGTGGCTCATGCCCCTGCACAGATGCCATCTATCCATCCAGGGTGGGGCCCTAACCCTTGCTGCATCTCTCCCTTTCCAGGAGCCCCATGTGCCTTATCGTAATAGCAAATTGACCCACCTCCTCCAGAACTCACTGGGCGGCAACTCTAAAATGTGAGTGGAAGTACAGGTTGGGACCTGGGGGGGGGGTGGGGGGGGGGGCGGGGTGGGGGGCCCCCTGCCACTGGGGGTGGGGGAGGACGGTAGCAACCCCATGTCCCGCAGTACCAACCCTCTGCCCCTGCCCTGCCCTGCCCACAGGCTCATGTTTGTAAACATAGCACCACTGGAGGAGAACATCGGTGAGTCGCTGAACAGCCTGCGCTTTGCCAGCACGGTGAGTGCTGGGGAAGCGGGGAGGGGGCTAAGCCTACCCCCACCTGGCCCTCTACTGCTGCCTCCTCATCCCCTGCCTTTCCACTTTTTCAGGTTAATCAGTGTCACATCGGCACGGCACCAGCACACAAGAAAGGAGGAGGGGGTCTACCACGGACTTCAGATGTTGGGGGTGGTGGGAAGGGACCTGGTCCCAGCTGAGGGGTGGGGTGTGAAGGAACAAAACGCTCTTTATTTTTTACTCTTTTATTTCTTTTTAAAATCTTTTATATCCAATAAAGCGTCGGTGTTATTGCTTCCTGGGATCTTTCCTTGGGAGGAGGTAGCAAGCTGGACACGGAGCCAGGCCTCACTGGAGAAGCGATGGGGGCTATTTGCCTCTTCTGCACTTTGCTGGTTCATATTAGCCCTGGGTGGGGGGAAAGGGTAGTGGGTCCCATACCAGCTTGAAGGAGGCTGGAGCTTGGGTGGGGGCAGTGCTGCAGAAGGGGTTGGGGCTGGTGTGGGCACAGCAGGAGCGTTGGGGCACACCCTGACTTGTGACTCTAGGCCACAGCCCTGGACACTCCTTGGCAAGCCAGAGTACTTGTGGGGGAAGCACCTGTGACCTAGGGCTCTGAAGCACTGTAAGTAGAGCCCTTGGCCTGACCGGGGCCAGAGGAGCTGAAGGATACCCGGACTACCAGCGAAGGCAGTCCTGGCCCAGCAGAGTGGGATGGCACAGGCAGTACGTAGAGGACAGAACAGCAAACCCCAGTAGCTGGAAAAGGCCTCAACCTGTGGCTGCTGCCAGATGGCAAAACCCCCAGGTGCCAGCCCTGGATGAGTCTCCCCATCCCACTGGGCTGGGCATTAGCTTGAGGTTGGTTTGCTGGTGGCTCTCATGACCTGCTTTGGGTTTCTATTAATGCTTCCCACAGTTCATTGGGGTGGGGAGGGGGTTGTTTCCTTGGGGTGATGGATTTAATGGGCCCCTACCCTGTTACCACGACAACAACAAGCATTCAATGCTTTCCCTCATTCTCCCTCTCCCCATCTCAGGGTGGTGTTAGGCAAAGCCCCTGCCTTGTTCCTGTATTAGCACCTCCATGTCTGGCCTCACTGCTCACTCCCTTTTGCTCTAGCATACACAAGCATGCTCCTCCACTTCCCTGCAGCCCATGTTCAAGGCTAAAGTGTCAGAGCTCAGCCGAGAAGTGCCTACTGAGATGGATTAACAGCAACACTGCTCAGCTTTTAAGCTGTGAGCCTGAGATGGACCATGCTGCACCTAAAGTTCATTGTCCTGAATAGTGGGCCCAGAGCCACTAGGCACATCTGCAGTAACTGGACTGTCCAAAGAAGGAGCGAATATCCAGGAGCCTGTTGCGCTGGGGTGATTGCCTGTAGTCGACATATTCCGTCAACTCAGGGCAGGCAAGTCCAGTGAGAGGGACAAGTCAGGGTTTGGAGTGAGACCAGTGTAGGAAGGCCCAGAGGGTTAGCCTACAAGCCTTTGTGCTTGGGCAAGGGTGGGGTGTGTGTGAATGTGTGTGTGCCCTTCTCCCCCTGCAATAAACCCTATTTCAGTGGGATTTTGCCTGCTTCCCCTTGTCTCTAGGTGGAGGGTTGAGCCAGACTTGAGAAGTTGGTGTAAAATGCCTGGATTTGTAGGAGGTGGATACCAGGCCGGGCTGCACGAGGGCTGGCTTTGGTCCTCTGGTTTCACAGCACAGGAGGATTGACGCAGAGACCCGCAGCCTAGCTAACAGGCTGCCTGGGAAGAATGTGGAGACCGATGCCCGTGGCCCTGATGTGCAGGATCTGTCTGTGCCTGGCCCCTGCCTCAAACTAGCCTGCCATCATGGGTAACTGTGCCCTTGCTGGGCTGTTACACACACGCACACTGAACCATTAGCTTCCTGGTTAATGGAGTTTGTCTATAGCATGGAATGCTCTGCTCTTGCCTTATATTTCCTCCTGATGGAGACAGCCAGACTCAACCAGAGTGAGGGGTTGCTTGTCCCTGTCTAGGCTTGAGGGGGGAGGAACAGCAGTGACTGACACAGCCTGACAGGGAGGTGAAAGGGTCCTGATCTTTGTCCCCTAGTGGGGGTGTGAGCCCCTTATTAGGTTACATCTGCCCTTTGGCTGCAAGGTCCTGCCTATTGAGAGCATTGGAAGAGCAAGTGTTGGCACAGAAGGAGTTGAAGACAGAACAATGTGTTTTAGGAAGCAGGGTCCCTGACACTGGCAGCACGAGCCTGCAGGGGCCCCAGTGCCTTTCAGCGGGGCAGTGGGACCCCCCCAAAGCCTGCAGTGCACAGCTGTACTGCAAGACTTGCTGAGGGTAGGGCAGCACAAGAACATCAACAGGGCCAAACTGGGTCAGATCCATGGTCCTAGCTCAGTGTCCTATCCCCAACAATGACAAGAGTAGATGCTATAGAGTGGGGAGCACTGAATAGGATCTCTCAAGCACCCTCGCCAGGCCTGCTCTCTGCCTGTGGCACTTTGGAGGGTGGAAACGTGACAGGTCTGGGCTGGACGGAAAGGGAACCTGTGGCTGGGTTGGGCAGGAGTTCAGGCCTTATGGCCCTGGGTCCCTCTGGGCCTCATTCCCTCCTAGAATGAGCCCCAGATTCTGAAGCTGCTGCACACCGCCAAAGCCAACTACTCGGTATTGAAGGTAGCGTAGAATGACCGCTTGTCCCAGAGCCACAGCCTCTTCCAGCTGCACATTAAGGGCTGCAAGACTAGGTGGGCCCTGCACTGGCCCTGTGAATGTGGGGCTGGGGCAGTGCTGGCGGGGGGGGGTCCTCTCTGGCAGGTCCTGTGTCAGCCCCTCCCTCTGCCACAGCTCTGCTGAGCCTAGTAGACCCAGTGGGTAGTGGGCAAGATGCAGCCAAAGGGCAAGCGTCTGTGGGAGACGCTGGCCATCAACGCCAGCCTTTCCATGCTGGGCCTGGTAATCCTGGTGCTGTTCAAGGTAAGGGAACCCCCAAGCCAGAACCACCCCATCAGGCTGGGGTCTTGCTGTATCCTGCCAGGTGGCAGGTGGGGCAGGCAGGCTTGGCACAGATTGCCAGCCTGGTCCATTCCGTTTAACAGATGTTGTCTGTGTATCTGGGGTGGTGCTAGGACCCTTGCTCCATCTTTCCCTCTGGCAGGAGCCCCCCATGCCTTAAAAACAGCTGTGACCCACTTCCTCCAGAACTTGCTGGGCTGCCAGTCCAACATGCATGGTAAACATAACATCACTGGAGGAGAACATCACCACATTGCTCAGCAGCCTGCATGTCACCACCACGATGCATGCTGGGGGAGAGCTGTCCCTATCCTACCCTCACTCTCTGCTGCTGCCTCCTCACCCCCTGTCTCTCATCTTTCAGGTGAATCAGGAATGACCTCCTATTCAATCCCCTGCCTAGCATCCACCATTATTGAGTGGGAGATGCCAGGCGAAACATGTCCAGCTGTTTTGTTCAATAGGCATTAACAGATCAATCATGCATGAATTTATCCAGCTCCCTGTTTTCCCTGGCTCCTCTCTCTGCTTCCACCAACCCCTGTGGCAATGAATGTTAACAGTGTGTTAACGCAGTGTGTTAACACGTGTTAACAGTGTGTTGTGTAAAAATCAATGCATTTTAAAGTCCTTGTTGGTTTAAAACCTGTCATCTCATTGCAGCAGGTGCCCCCTGGTTCTAGTCTTCTGGGGTGCGGGGAACAGCAGGTCCCTGGTTGCTTGGTCTGCCCGCTTCATGATGTTATAGACCTCCGTCCTTGACCCCCTCAAACTTCGTTCCAAATGGAAGAGTCTGAGCCTTTTTTTGTGGTCTCTCCTAGCTTTGGAACAATTTGGGCAGCTCCAAGATGCCCAAGGGGTAGGACATGGGACTGGCCAGCTGGAGACTTGGAGCTGGAAGGAAGACCTGTGAAGTAAAGAGGAGAGGAGGCAGCTGTGGGCTGGCACTTGGGTCCAGCACCTGCCTGGTGCACAGGACAGGGAGTCAGTGGGAGATGTGGCTGATGTGATGAGTGAGATTGTCCACGGAGTTAATCCGAAGTTCCATGGAAGGCAAGCTAAGCTTGCACCTTGTAGACTAACCAAAGTATGTATGTGTGGTTCTTCTCAATATTTAATGGAGACATTAGGTCACATCCTGTAGACAGATACTCCCATTTATTTACATAATATAGTAATATACAGTGTGGTGTGCATGTGTGCATTTCCACATGTATAGAGATAGATATAAAGTATAGCACAAACGTCTGTGAGCTGATGCATCATCCGCCCCTGAGGAAGTGAGCTGAACTTCTGAAAGCCTGTGTGTGTGTCTGTCTGCTCTTGTTATTCTACAAGGGGCAGATCTCCTGAAAGCGTGCGCGCGCGCGTGTGTGTGTGTGTGTGTGTGTGTGTGTGTGTGCGCGCGCGCGCGCGTGTCTGCTCTTGTTATTCTACAAGGGGCAGATCTCCTGAAAGCGCGCGCGCGTGTGTGTGTGTGTGTGTGTGTGTGTGCGCGTGTGTGTCTGCTCTTGTTATTCTACAAGGGGCAGATCTGCCCTGCCGGCCTTCTCCTGCTGAGAGGGCCCAGGGGGCTTTGCTGTGATCTTCCTAAATTTAGGACCTAGACGTGGGCAGGGAGGAGGAGGAGAATCCACCAACAAGGCTGAGAAGGCATGCAAACTTGCGTGAAAATGGACGTGTGGTCTGCATGCAGGCCTGGCCACTGGACTGCCATCATCACCCTCCAGGGACCTGAAGGCTGTGATCTACTCCCCTGTCAGGCGTCTCTTCTCCAGACTCAGTCCCGCTTGCTGTCTCAGCCTGTCCCGGCTCCTCAGACTTTTACTCGGTTCTGTCACTGCGCCAGACTGTTTCCAGTCGATCCGAGCGGCTCGAGTGTGGATCCCGCGGGCAGGCGCAGGAGTCCAGGGCAGGCTGACCGGAGCCAGAGAGTCGCGGCGAAGACCCTCCGGTTCATGCAGCCCTGGAGGCGC